TTTCCTTAGTTTTTTCCCGGGGGGTTTTTTTTTTTTAGTTTTGAAAGGGATTTAAATTTTTTTTTTTTTTTTTTTTTTTTTGCCCCAACACCATAACAGTTGTGTTATTTAACAGTGAGTATAAAGTCTTAAAATGAACCTATAGCACATATCTGGAGGCATGATGCACCTTGATAAACCTGCTATTCAAAATCATGCATGTCTTCCATATAGAGTTGATGGAAGTGTAAAATCTCACATCAACTGCATCGCCTAGAGGAGAATTAAATTAAGAGCATGTAATCTTGGGGACAAATTAGCTGACTGTAAAATCTTTGGCAAATCCTCACCGCCAAGCTCCATCTGTACTTTGTCCAGATTTGTCAGTAAGACCACAACAAAAAGGTCACACATTATGTAGTTTTTCCATCACTGTTCTTATATCAACAATGACTTAAACGTTTCTGATTGACCATCGTCAAAAAGAAACATTTTGATGGCATAGGAGACCCATAAGAAGAGGCCAGAGTTGTCATTAATTGTCAATGTTTTACTTGGGAGTTTCAAATTAGCAAAAGACAGGGACTTAACCTGCTGCAGGTTAAAGTTACTTCGCTACACCAATCAGACCCTAAAATATATTTGAGGCATCGCTGATCAGACCACAGGCAACAGTGGAGATGTTGCAAATCCAGTCTCTGAATACAACAGAAGTGTCTCCAACTGAAAACGAGTGTGGAGGTGTCACCAATCAGACCCTTGGACTCAGAGATGGAGATATGGGCGATACCATATTTGCCAGTGAGACTTGAGCAGGAGCTGAAGGCGTTGTACTGGGTGAGGTTGCTGTGACTGGAGCAGGTGCACAGGATGAGTTTGATTTGGCTCCCGAGACGTTGTAGACAAAAATCAAAGGACTTTAATTCACAATTTCCCTAAGAACCAGACAAAAACCTCAAGGTTATCTGCCAGTTTCCCCTTGAAAAACATCCCTTTTTACACTGGTGGAGACCAAAAGCCAAATAACACTAAAAGAAGAGAGAAAGAAGAAGCTAGGAAACTGAACAAGCACAGTTTGAGCTCCTAAAAGACAATAGGAGACAAAGAAGCACAGAAACAGGAGCAACAGGAAACATGAAGAAAAGAGAACATAAAAAGGGAACAACTACAAAAGAGCGACTCAGTAACT